ACACTGGTTTAGAGTGTTGGGTGAACACTAATCTAGTGTTTGTGAAGATGAATAAAAATGAAGAGATGGGTAACATCTTTCTTACAGAGATTTTCCTTGTACAGAAAAAAAAATGTCATCTGCTACCTGAGCTTCTTTTAACTTTGTAAATCACACTGTTTACCTTTTTTTTTTCTTTAACTGAGAGTATCATAAACATCTAATGAATAGCAACAATAGCTGGAAATAATGGGGACTGATCCTAAAACATCTCCAAAGAAGGCATATATTCTACCATTCAGCTATGAGTGTCCTAATTCAAAATATAAAAACAAATCAAATCCATTTTTATTTTGGTTGTTGGTCATATATAAAAAGATTACAGTATATATGTATCCCAAACAGACATCTGTATCAATAGAACATATGAACAAACTTCAAATAATGTTGTTAGTGACCTACTGACCAAATCCTGATAAGAAACGTAGCAATTTTTAATGTGATTTCATTATGTTGGTTGGTTGGATAAAGGGTTAATAACCTAAAATGTTAAAGAAGGTGGTATATCTTCTAAAAGAATATCCTTAAAAGAGTGTAGAATATGGACTATTGTTTCAATTGGCTCAGAAAAAAATTGAAGACTGGAATGATTTGTCAGTGGTTAAACTGTCTTGATGGCAATATAACTTTGACATAACTTTTAAGAAATCCAAGCACTGAAATTACCCTTTTTCAGGATGATGCTCTTCCTATGTGCTATATTACAACTCACACAACCCTTTTTATCAGCCACATTGTCTGGGAAGGAAAAGATGTGTAGTTCAACTCAGCTTGAGCATGTAGTGCTCTAGTGTGGTTTGGGTTTAGCAACACATGTGCATTCTGCCATTGTAATTTGTGAACCACTTAGTGGGATATGTGAATCCAGATTTTTATTTATTTTATTTTATTTATTTATTTATTAAATTTCTCACCTGCCCATCTCCCCCCAATGGGGGAACTCTGGGCGACTCACACTGAACATTAAAAACATAAATATAAATAAATACATAAAACATTAGTTTACAAGCACTTCTAAAAAAGGGGAAGGAGAGTCCAAGAAAATGAAAAATCTGAGGCTAAAGACAGAAGGCCTCTATGGGGCTAGCCATCCCCATGCTTGAGGTATTCCCTCCCCACCCCAGGCCAAGTTGCAGAACCAGGTCTTCAAAGCCCTACAGAAGCCCAGGAGTGAGGGGGCCAATCGCACCTCCAGGGGCAGAATGTTTTTATGGCTTAATCAACAATGGTGTGTGTGTATATGCCTTTGAACCAGTGTCGACTCCTTGCAACTGCCTAGACTAGTCCCTGCAGTTTTCTTGCCAAGATTTCAGAAGTGGTTTCCCATTGCCCCCTTTCTAGGGCTGAGAGGAAGTGATGGGCCCAAGGTCACCCAGCTGGCTTTGTGCCTAAGATGGGACTAGAATTCACAGTCTCCTGGTTTCTAGCCTGGTCCCTTAACCACCACACCAAATTGGCTCTCCAGTCAACAATGATGACTTCAAAAACTGGCTTAATTTAGGGCTATGAAAATCTGGACAACCACTACAGAAGGGCAAAAAGCTAGGTTCTGGTAAACCTCCAGTTATTGTTGGGATTATCTCATGCAAGAAGTGCAAGCTCAAAACCCATTCTTACCATGGATGGTGAAATGATAAATAATAATCACATCTGTTTTCTGGAAATATTAACACGTAATTGTAGTACAAACCAAACTGCTTTCCTAGTTAACTGGTATTTGGATATTTGTTTTCTGTCCACCCCTCTAAAAAATGCATAAAGGCTTGATTGTTGTTTTTGTTAATGCTGTACAGCTGAAAGTAACTAAATAACCTTCAGGGGAAAGTAAACTCTTTTTTTTCCCCTGCAAGCATTCTTACCCGGTTGGAGGTGATTTAGTCCGAAGAACATCTGTTTGACTCCTTTCCCATCCAGTCGTTCATTCTCAGAACTCCCACCATGTATGTCGGCCTCTAGCCTGTTTATTCAATTGCCTGCTTGGTTTTTTTTCCCCCTTACAGAGTAAAATCAGCCAGACTTCACTTAAATGTTTTTCAGGCAGCTAATTTCTTTGATGTTGCCTAGGTTTTATAATAAAAGTGGAAATCCATGTACAATTATGGATGCATTTGAAATAAGTCCCACACTGGGGATCTGGGTGTGCAGGGGAACCTATGCAGTGGCTATGATGAATATTGCTTGATTGCTTTTGTACCTCGGCTCTTGATTATGTTATATGAGTTTTATATGGTTTTCATATTGTATTTTTTGTTTTGTTTTGTTTTTAACTGTTGTAAGCCACCCAGGGTCATGTATTTGAGATGGGTGGCTATATGATTTAAAGGAAGGAAGGAGCAAGAGAGCACGTAGAGGCCTCCACAAGGGGGCGTCAAAATGGCACCCATGACCACACAATCAACCCCCCATCCCTTTTTTATGTATGTTGCATGAGGGTGGCCATCATTTTGACCTTTTTGAGTCCCCCTTACAGATGCCCCTGTGTACGTGCTTAAAAGATAGCTTTAGAGACCTTCCTAATCCATCTGAAGTAAATTACAGATGATACACGTCTTTTCTATTGTATTCCCCACCCCATTATGTAGCTGTTTCTTCCAGATTATATGGTGGCTTCTTTATCTTATTTTAGGTGCCAAGTGAAAACACTATAATTTGCCCAGGACTTTGAGTTCTATATCAATTATGCTAAACCAAGTATGGTTTGCTTGACTTTGGCTTAGTATGTTAAGTAAGCACAGCCATTATGATTAATCAATCATGATTTACAGCTCAGTGTGTTATATAAACATCGCTATTTATTTAATAAACTCTGTCTAAACAATCCATGACTTAGGAACTGAGTCTATATCTAGAACTGGGTTGTTGGTATTGCAAATGCCTCAGGTTATTTTTGAAATGGATTTCACTTCTACTTACGTAGCTTGTAAACCAGGGCAGCAATTCCATAAACAACCATTCCATCCATCCATCCATCCATCCATCCATCCATCCGTCAAGCCTGCTCTGCAGGTAGATTTACTCCTGCTCGTGTGCACCCACCAAAGCTACTTCCACATAATGCTCATTTCAGCGTACTAGTCCCACGCATCATGACATACTAATCTGGTAAAATAACACGCTTACTGCAATCAGCCCTGCTCACACAACACAAAATATCTACAGAAGAGAAACAGAGGTTAGAAAGAGGCTTGTTGCTTGCAAAGCTTACGCCAGCTTCCGGCTCTGTGTGCTGCTAAATCCAGCGAAGGAGCAGCTCCTGCTGATCCTTCCCCCGTCAGCGGGGGAGGCAAAGGTTAGTTTCACTGACATGATTCGTGGTTCATGGACTGCTGGCTCTAGAAGTTAAACAAACAAACAAACAAAAATAGATGCATCAAAAGATTAGGCAGGAAATGGAGAAAACATTGAACTTTGTTTGCAGAATCAGGGTATCTGAATACGTCAAGCCACCTGACATTCAGCTGGATTCTTGGTTCATCGGATCAGCTATTGCTTTGGGTCTCTTCAAGATTTCAGGAAGGACCCTTCCCAGCATTCATATATATAAATTGAAATAATACATCAATAAGCTAGGGAAAATTCTTTGGAAGGGAAATGCAAAGGACCAAAAAGCATTTACTCCACTACAGGGTTATGATGCAGAATCATTGTACGATCACATTCTTGTGTTTTTTGTCATAGACATTTTTCCAGTTTGCCATCACATTACTGCATTCCCCGCCCCCTCCAAAAATAGGATGTTTCTAATTCTGACTGCTATGGAATATTTGAATAAATATTTCAGGCTCCTAATGGATATTTTGTATTAAGCTACAGACTCTGTAATACCCTGTGGCCCCATTCTGCAGACTTGTAAAGGAGCTCTTTAAAAAAATTCAACACATCCGACTGAATACACTGCAGTACATGGCCATTATTCTCTTAACTGTAGCTGGCTAAATAAGTCACAGCAGACTGGATCTTCACCTTATGCAACACTGTAAATCGGAGTGTACTTTTCCTGGACCAAAGGCTACATATCATCCTTGAGTGATGTACCAAAGACTACATGCCAGAAAATAGTGGTTGATACCAAGCAAAATTAAATTCCATTTCATTTCCATGTTATATTTAATTATAATTAAATATAGTTAATGCAGCTATTCCCCATCATGTACTTTGGGGGTGCATATTAAACATTACAATTTGGAAACCTATTTTTAACGTTTCTGAGCATAGACACCTGGTCAATGACACCATGACATCACACACTGATATGACCAATACAAAGTCCATCATTCAAGTCATCTGCATGATGTCATGATGCACACAATGCTCTCTGCCCTCCCTTACCCCCAGTGCAGACACCATATCTTTGGGGGGTGCTCCCAATGCTTCCACAGGGCAGACCCTCAGGCTGTGTACTTCTGCCAAAAAACATTGTTCGGAAACTGCAGATGCACCCCACACACGACACTAAGCAACAACCAACCAAGCAACATTGCACCTCAGTGGAATGCACAGACTCGGATTTTCAGCACTGCTCCAAAGTGTGATCGCTCCCAGATTCACCGAGCCACGTGTGTCAGTGGCAGACATCAACATTACCTTCTCACAATCCCATCAATATTTTCCCCTTCATGACCATTTTTGGAAAGGAGCATTCAGTTTTTTAGATGCTTTGAACCCTGCCTTTTCTGTGCTACCATATGTAGATTGAGACGCAGGGAGATTTAAAAAAGAAAAAAGAAACGGGAAGTATCAAGACTAGCACACCCCATTCAAAATAGCCATCCCCTTCCTCTGTGATATTTGTGGGCATGATATGGTCATTAAAAAGAGATCTGCAGGAACACTCTGCAAAAATTGGAGTGTGCTTTGACTCATGCATCAATTGCACTTTCAGGACTTTGTTGCCTTTATCGGGGTGTGTGTGTGTGTGTGTGGAAGCTGTCTGCTAAATACACCTTCTGTAACAATGACTTCCTCCAGAACAAATGACACATTTAAATAGCCTCTATTTTATCAGTGGGGTATATTAGTTACAGTATTTTGCAAGCTGTAATTGAATTTTTCTTACCCTGCTTAGAGGAAAACTCAGGTTCTATAAACAGAAATGTAATGAATCCAACAATCATAGACCAAGGGATGCATTTATTTATTACATTTTTACATACACACCATCTGCCTGTTTATTATTATAACTCATTGTGGGAGAAAAGAAACACATCATGCTAACCTATGCCTTCTTAAATTCTGATTTATTGAATAAATGAAAACAGGCTGGAATCACACAATGCACTACTTGATAAACAGCAGTAGTAAGTAATACTACTAAAATAGTTGTACTGAAATTTATTACTATTACTAAACCATAGTTTACGGACCACATTGCTTGTATGCACACAATACTGCAAGCCAAAACAAAGAAAACCACATTATGGCTTAGTGCCCTGCAATTTGTAAATCATGGCCAGTCAAATTAGAAAATACTAGACAATAGCTGATGCTCTCTGGCTGAATGTATATACCGCATAGTATGTATGTAGTTCTGCACATGGTGGGCAGCCCACCGCAATTCTTCTAGAATTCAAACCTAGCTGGACCAGCTAGACTTTGAGTCAGGTAAGTATGACAGGTATGTGCGTATATATGTGAATGAAGCTTTAATTCAAAAAGTAAACAATAAAAGCTGTAAACTTGCATTTATTTCTCTGTGACCTAAGTCTCTGGATAAATCGGAACAGGTATGGAGAACCTCTTTATAATCCTCTGTATGACCATCCAGTTCACTGAATGAGACTTTGTGTCTTGTCCAGTCTATTTTTAGTTTGGCCCACAAAAGTTTTCAGACCCCAGGCAGAGGTCTTTCCTATTCATTCATTCATTCATTCATTCATTCATTCATTCATTCATTCATTCATTCATTCATGCCTTCTAGTCAGCATTGATTCCTGGTAACTGCCTGGACAAGTCTCTGCAGTTTTCTTGGCAAGGTTTTTTGGAAGTGGTTTGCCATTCCCTCCTTCCTAGGGCTGAGAGAGAGGGACTGGCCCAAGGTCACCCAGCTGGCTTTGTTCCTAAGGTGGGACTTCAATTCAATTCAATTTATTATGGTCATAGACCAGTAGAGTGCTCTGTGAATATACTGTATATAAATATATCTTAATAGATAATAAAAATAAAATTTAAGGCAAAGTTAAAATACATTTATAAAACAACGTAACTAGCATCTATGAGTGAGGTCCAGAATGCAGTCTATATTTAAATTATTAAGCAGATACTAAAATTAAATAAAGTATAATAAAGTAAAATTTTAGATATCTAAAATTTAAATGAATTACAGTTACATAGAATGCATTTGGCTAGCAGAAAATTGGCCCATCAAGGTCCAGCGGATCTTCTGTGTTGCTGCACAAAACCTAGCCTACATGCGTTGTAACAAAAGGCAGTTCATCTTTGAGCAGCATCTGGGCATAGGCTAAGTCTGAGCAACGAGGATATCTAATAATCAGAAGTAGGATGAATCTGGTTCAAATGTCTCCATAAAAGGAGCAACAAAGAAGAACATGTTCTGTAGTTTCCACCTCTCCAGAATCACAGGGGCAGAGCCTTTCAGCCAATGGTACTTTTTTATATTTACCATCCAATACTGCAGAGGGGAGTGCATGACATCGGGCAAGAGAGGAAGCTGTCCAATGTCTAGGTGTTTCTAGCTGTGTAAGGTAGCTGGCAGCAATGGCAATATATCTGTTATGTATTGGTGACAGGAAGGTTGGGGCCCTCCCTAGATCTGCTTGCCCTCCATATCCTTTCTCCTTTGCTTCAGGGTTTGTTTCACCTGATCATATTTCACCTTAGGAATCAAGGAGGGAGAGTAGCCTAGATTTAAAAATTTAGATTCAACAGCCTTGATCCATGTGGATTGAAAATCGTCCTGGAGAATTAATGGTGCTAGGCCCCAAGGATAAAAAGTAAGCTTTAACCAAAGGTTTATAGAAGCTAGACACACTCTCGACTCAACTTTTATTATACCTGTCTCCAGTCATAAATGTGTGCTGGAGACACAACGAGGTACCTGGAGAGCTTTTCTGATGAATTTAGAGTGTACCCTCTCCAAGGAGGTGAAACAAGGAGTGGTGGCCAACCAGAGTCCCATAAAGGAACTGGGCTCTAAGGTGGGACTAGAACTCATGATCTCCCACTTTCTTCATATCTTTCCCACTCTATTCATATCTGATCCTTTAAACAGGAGAGGCTGAAGATTGTACTAGCACTCTCTGCCTCCAAAGCGCATGCTTCATCCTCAGGTTGCAGCTCTCCCCTCCAAACTAAGCCACGTTGTGTGAGCAATGGAGCCATTATACAGAGATAAGTCTAAATTGCAACAGTTGCCACGACATTCAATTGTCCTTCTTGTAACAGTAGATGACACTCAGCTGCTACTATTAGAATACAAACACCCATATCTGTCCTGGGCTAAGACTCAGTTCTGGGCAAAGGTTCAGCCATTACATGCTAGTATCTCTTGCATAACAGATGTGCCTGCCCTCTTATACTTCACAATCAATGGTCCAGTTTTCAAGGGAAGAAAAAGATGAAGTCAGCCTATTCATTTCTCTCCACAGCCACCTACCCAGCCTGGCAGTTCTTTGTATAATTCAGTGCCAGAATCCACTCAAACTAGCTTGCACTGACTGCCACTAAAGTGATACAGGACTCTCGTTTATTTTTCCCAAAGACTGCTCAATTTAGCTTTATCATGCCAGGTCCAAGGGCTTGAGTACTGAGAGCATTTGCTTTCAAGTGCAAGACTGGCTCTGCCTTCCATGGCTGTGGCCACCCCCAGAGGGCTAGATTCACCTTGGCTTCCTCTCCTGCTTCCCATTTTCACTCAACCCCTTGTGTTCCTCGGGGGAATTCAAGTCCCCAGGGCTGCATGTGCATAGAATGGAGGTCACAGGCCAACCACCTCACAAGATGCAGCAAGCCAATAAATCTGAACCGTGGACAGAAAGCAGTTGAAAATCCTCCCACACATACAAGAACAGGCAAGCTGATGAAATGCAAACCCCAGATTTTAAATATTTGCCTTTTTAAGATAAAAATAATAGCCCTGATGATAACATAGACTAATCCTGCCAGTCTAAATTATCTAATTGGGAATAAACTCTCAATTGTACCCATAAAACCATTTTACATTTTACATAAATTCCATGTAAAAGGCAACATACAGCTACTTTTCTTACAGCGGTTCATAGCAAGCAGACTAATTTGCTATAATGTAAGAAGGATAGATGGATGGACAGACAGACAGATAGACAGTAAACAGCAGGTGCAAGAAATCCAATT